GGGGGGGGGTGAGGGCTGGCGGCTTCCCTCTCCCCAGGAAGCAGGAGTGAGAAGGGGGAGAGGCGAGGGTCACGATCATCCCTCCTGTGCCTTGGTGCCATAGAGCTGGCTCCCAAACTCCGCCACCTGCTCTCAAGGCCGGTGTTGGATATAACCCAGCAAGGGTGGTGGGAGCAGAGTGTCCCCAGACACTGAGGAGACAGCTGGCCCATCTCGGTGGCCCTGGGGTGGTGTGTGGCCTGTCCTGTGTGATGGGTCAGCAGCTGGTCTTAGCCATGGGGCCTGAAAAGGACACAGCCCAGTGTGAGGCACAGTCCCTGGCCTGGCACGTGGGATCGCTATCTAAAGACTTCTTGGGAACACACGGGACTGGGGTGGCATCTTCATCTTACTTGGCTTCATTTTCATGGGTCTTTCTTGTAGTCAGTTATAGATGCTTCAGGAGAAAAGATATAAAGGTTTTATGAGGAGCAGGTGAGGAAATTGGGGGTGTTCAGCCTGGAGAAAAGGAGGCTGAGGGGAGACCTTAATCTTTCTCTGCAACTGCCTGAAAAGAGGGTGTAGCCTGGGGGGGTTGGTCTCTTCTCCCAAGGAACAGGCGATGGGACAAGAGGAAACGGCCTCAAGTTGCACCAGGCGAGGTTTAGGATGGATATTAGGAAAATTTGTTCACCGAAAGGGTTGTCAAGCCTTGGAACAGGCTGCCCGGGGAAGTGGTGGAGTCACCATCCGTGGAGGTGTTTAAAACACAAGCAGAGGTGGCACTGATGGACATGGTTTAGTAGCAGACTTGGCAGTGTTAGGTTAACAGTTGGACTTGATGATCTTGAGAGTCTTTTCAATCTAAACAATTATATGATTCTAAAACCCCTTCACGGAGACTAACTGCACGGTTTTGAGCCTGTTCTCTCAGCAGGCGGAGGAAGTTCCTAGAAAATTTGGGTTATTACAGAAAAGAAGTAGCAGTAACATTGGAATAACATGGCTTCGAGATGCCTACATCTAAAAATTTAAAATTCTCTCCTGAATCGCTGTTTCAGAACTGTGTGGTAATTTAAGAATTTAGTTTGTATTAATGTTAAGTCACATGTTATTCCTTAGTACTTCGTCTGAAAAGAAGAAATAAACACTAGTGGCAGCGGTACAGCAGATTGCCTCTCCTCCAGTCTGGGTATGCAGTAACAATGGAGACTTCCGATGAAGAAAACTTTGGTGTAGCCATGTAAGTATGCTACATTCTGTGTCAGATTTTCAATAAGCTGATTACTGGTTAAAATATCTTAATAGGAATATAATTACACAGATTAATTTACGCTACAGTGATTACCACATTCTGCCTCTTGCAAGAACAAGGGTCCAGAAAAATGCAAAACTCCAGGAGGGGGTAATATCAGTTCAGAGTCTGGGTGAAGTCAAACCAAGTATAACTGCAATGAGCATAGCACCAGAGAGCCCTGGCTGAGTGATCAAAATAAACACTGTAAGGCTGACAACTGGGGGGTTTGTCTTCATTTTAAATTAAAAATTTTTCTCTTCTTTTTAAGAGCGTATGTTTTCTTCCATCACGGATTCTAAGAAGAGATAATATTTGAATGTGCTCCTAGACATGTGAGGCCTTGTACAGGTCAAATGAATTTTACTCTGGTAGATGCTAAGGCACTGCTTTGTTCCACATTTTCTGGCATACTCTTCTCCTAAAGCTTGTGGCAGAAGGTTCATGTCCCTCTGCCTATGTCACTCCATAGATTTAGTTCTTGCAATCTACAGACTATCACAAATGGCTAAATTGGATGTTTCTGATCGCCATTATCTCCCACACTAGCCAAAGACTAAAACAGAAATTGACTGTCAGGGCAATAGGTTGATTTTTTTTTTCCTTTCCTTCAGGACAAAATTTTCTATTTATTTCTCTTTCCAGTACTTGTAATTTGTATCAGATATGTCTTTATTGCTCATTGCTAATACAAGTGTGTATTAGGAATTGTTTTAACACTGGCCCTTGAGAAGGATGGGTTTGTGATGAAGGCAAGATTCAGGCATGCAGACTGCCAGGGCTTCTCCAGCAGCAGATGTTGGGCTGGCCTGGACTAGACATGATGAGGTGACAAGGACTTAAACCACAAGATCTGTGAGCATGTGTTTCTTCAGTTGTGCAGATGCAAGTGTGTTGTGTAGAGGGGTGGAATCGCTGCTATTTTGGAACAGTTAAAATTCCATGATTTGTCCCACAAGCTTCAACTGGGGTTTGAATTAATACTTTAAAATTTCTGTTGCTGTTAGAGGGAAAAAACAAAGGTAGAAATTATCCATAGCAAAGTCTCCTGTCTTTGCATGTACTTAGAAAGCCACAAGACCTCTTGCCTGAAGTCCCAAATGTGATGCTCTGGGTATGTAATGCTTCAGCTGACCCATGCCAGCTCCTCTCCTGGTGGTGTCCTGCCCTCTGGTGGAAGAGGTTTTCCAGTCTCTCGCCTTGGCTTTGCTCATCTCCTAAGGCTTAACAGATCAGAAATGTTGCTAGAACATCACTTGGGGATCGAACGCCCTTTTAAATCAAAGATCTTTACGTTTTTCCTGGTCAGAAGCCCTGGACCAGGGCTTTTTTCCCCTCATGTGTGAGAGAAGCTTGTCTTTCATCTGCTGAGAATACAGAGTTCATCCCCTACTACAGATGAACTCTGAATGCCAAGGCCAAGACAATCCTGTGGATTACTCTACTGTGTCTGATAAAGTGCATAATAATAGATTTAGCAGAGGGATCCAGAGTCCTGAAATGCTGGTACCAAAGGTTTCTTCCTTGGATGACTTGAGATCCATAATGGGGTTTAATAGTCATGATTGAATGCCTGTAGGAGATTATGCCATTTATTTGTAGCATGTAGGATGTATCTTGCATAAGAAAAATATTTATGTTTCTTATACAATACTTGTGATTACATTGAGTTTTAAGTGGTTCCACAAGACCAAATATTTCAAAATATTCTCTAGAGTGTCTAGAGTTCCTTAATCACCATGGCGAGTTACAGAGGGAAGAGAGCAGAAGAAAAACTTGTGGTAGCAGCCGGGATTTGTGGGTTGGAAAATGCTTAACTTGCTGTTCTAATTACACTCCTTACATCCTTCTGCACCAGGACTAGAATTACCTTGACAATAACGCCAGTACACAACATTTTTTTTTTTTCAATTAGGCACCTTACTGGGGGGGAAATACAGTAGAGGCCTGATGAGAATCCCCACAAAGCAGTCTTATCATCAGTGTCATGGATTATTTTATAGGTTGAAACTAGGAAATTATTAACTTATTTTGTAATTATTGGGCTTATTTGTGCTTGGGCTTTTGTTGACACTTTTAATTTTAACTTTCATTTCTGCTGTGGTTGAAATACATACTTATGCGGTACCATCTTTCTTTTGCTTTCAGCTCCTCCCCTTGTGAGGCAGAGTTTGATGCAGTTGTTGGGTATCTGGAGGATATCATAATGGGTAAGTACTTACAGACAACGAGATGGGTGCTAAGCATATTGCTGCTCATAAACAAGCTGCTCTTCTGTCAGCACACATACAGAGCCAAAGGAGCCCCTGCCTGCTTTGTAGAAGCTTTCTGTCCTTTGTTCCCCTGGCCCCTAACCTGGTAGTGCAATAAAATTATACACAAAAGTCTTTTGTGTGCTGTTTGAACAACAGGGTGCTTGTGAGCCTTGAAAATTATTCTCTGCGTCACTGCAGTACACTCCTTCATAAATAAACAGTAAAGACACTTGTAAATCTCACATAGAAATCAAAGCTGTCTGGAATTTTTGTGCCCTTTTATAAAGGGGATGGAGGAGACTGTGAGAGGCCACCTTCCCTTTCCAGCTCTGTCTGAACCTCTCCTCAGGTGTTTGTCAGGACGTTCTTAGGAGCTGCCGTGGTTTGTCCAGGCAACTTGCTGTAATGCCAGGCTGTTGCTGCTGCAGGCAGCCTGTTCCAATCTCCAATATAAGGTGCCTGTGCTATCATTTAAGCATGTTGTTCCCGGTCCTGTCTCTTCTGAACACTGCAAGACTCTCTTCTCACATTGCAAGACTGGAGATGGGAGTCAGCACGTCTTGCCATTTTTCACTTTGTAAGGCTGTCCTTCTGAGTTGATTTGTTGCCTGTAGCTTGCATGTATGTGTACAGCTGTAACGTGGCAAGACCTCTTCATAGCAGGAGTGTTGAACGGCACCAATCTCATTGTGTGAGCTCAGGCAGTAAAAGGTGCTAAATTCTCAGGACCATCATTTGAACTGAGCAGTCAGCATGTGCAAGGAGCTAGTGTGCAAGGTGCCAAGACAGAATTCCTGCTGATTGGCCATCAGTTGCTTCATAAGAACAGCATATAAACTTTTTGACCACATCCTTTCCAGAGAGATGTAGATTCTGCAGCCTCAGCTTGCCTGGTGATGTACCTGAATCTGGAGAAATGCAGACTGAACTAATTTTGAATATGCTAGGGTTTAGAAAGCTGAGACTGGTGTATTTTAACACTGTGTTTAAGTAAAATTTATATTTTTACCTGTTCTGCTGAATTCAGTGGTGACCTGCTGTGTTCATTTTTATTCTGGTTTCCTTCCACAACTGGAAAAAAAATCTTCAGCAATTGTAAATGAACCTGAGAGTTTCACTAATATTTTTTAAATCAAGGGGGAAAAAAAGTTCGTTGGAATTCTTCTAGGGAAGAAGTAATCGCCTTTGCTGACTTGAGAGCCTGAGCAAACAGGGGTTCAGAATAAGTAACTTTGTGATGAAGCAGGAGGACTGCCAGCAGCCTCTGTCTCTCGCAGATGGGTCAGAAGTGGTGGCTCAGCGGCAGCTGTGCTGCTGGAGTGACTGACCCTGCACGTGTGCAGGGCTCCATGGCTACAGCAGGGAGAGGGAGGGCTAGTGAATGTGGGGTTTGTGTTACACAAAGAATGACTAAACTCCTAACTGTATGATGCATTTTGGTTGTGCTCCAGATGATGATTTCCAGTTAATACAGAGGACTTTTATGGAGAAGCACTACCAGGAGTTTGATGACTCGGAAGAAAACAAGCTCATCTATACTTCTATTTTTAATGAATATGTAAGATGCTTTTTCATATGTATTGCTTTTTTATTTTTATTAAGGCCAGTGTCAGGTCCTGGGTTTATATGGAGCAGAACCAACAAGCTGCCTGCTGTCTCTTTCTGAGGCACAGTCATGATCTGCGAGCAAGAAAAATGTTTTCTAGAGCTCTAAGTTCCTTTTTCTTTTCACCTGAAAATTTCTATAGGCGTTGTGGAAGTTGTGTTACTCTCTTGAATAGAAGTTTAGCCTATTGCTGTAGTAGAAAATAACATTTAACCTGTACATAACAAAGTTTGTTCTTCTCCAGTTGTATTATTTCATGTATTGGACACTTCAGTTACATTCTTCATGCAAAGCATAATTATGAAGTCATACCAGCCTCCTAGTAAATATCATTAAATGAGTTAAAAACAATTTGTTACTAGATACAAGTAGTGTTTGTCCTTGCCAATTCCCAGCAAAAATGTTCAGCTCCCTGCCTCAGCAGTGGTGTGATTGATCGAACTACATCTCCCCGCTAAAGGAATCTGCAGTCTGCCCCCTGAGGATAACACAAATTGTCAGTAAGGTGTCAGTGTAAGATGCACTATTTTGAAATCTGCTCCTGAGATTTGTTACGATGTTTTAGGGGTGGTTTGCTTGTTGTTTTTTTTTTCAGATCTCTTTAGTAGAGAAATACATCGAAGAAAAATTGCTTGATCGGATTCCTGGTTTCAATATGACTGCTTTCACAATGTCATTGCAGTAAGTCTCTGCTTCGCTTTTGGTTTGGGGGCAGCTTATGTGCCTCTCAATTAATTCTTTTTATCTAGATTAAAGCTTAGATTTGACAGTTCTCTCTTTAGAAAGAGCTTCCTCTTTAATTAAAAAAAAAAAAAAAGTGTTCATGAAGGAAATGCCTAACCGCTTTTCTTGCCT